TGATTTATTGTAGAGATGAGGTCTCACCTGCCCAGGCGGGTCACGAACCCATGGGCTCAGGCAATCCACTCACCTCAGCCTCCCAAAGGCACAGGATTACAGGCTGAACCACCGAGCCGGGCTAAAAAAAATTTTTTTTAGATAAGCCAGGCATGGTAGAGAGTCTGTAATTCCAGCTACTTGGGGGAGGCTGAGGCAGAAGGATCACTTGAGTCCAGGAGTTCAAGCCTGCAGTGAGCTATGAATACACCACTGCACTCCAGTCTGGCCAACAGAGCAAGACACCATCTATAAATAAACAAACAAACAAACTCCTGAGGGCTTACATTGAACATGGTATCCTCTGAAGATTTATGTTTTTTTCAGCAAGGAACAAAAGAGAGTTATCACAATGCTTAATGTTCCTCTTTTTTTTTTTGTCTTAATTTTTTTATTTGTTTTAGAGATGAGGTCTTGTCAACCTCCTTCTTTTATTTTGCTATTTTGCCTCCTGTAGAGTTTATTTAATTATGTATTTACTTACTTATTTTGGGGTCAGAGCCTCACTCTGTTGCCCAGGCTGGAGTGCAGTGGCATGGTCATGACCACCGCAGTCTTGACTTGCTGGGCTTAGGCGATCCTGCCACCTCAGCCTTCCAAGTAGCTGAAACTATGGGCATATACCACCATGCCCAGCAAATTTTTCTTGATATATTGTAGAGACAAGGTCTCGTCAAGTTGCCCAGGCTGATCCTGAACCTGTGGGCTCAGGCAATCCTCTCACCTCGGCCTCCCAAAGTGCTGGGATTATAGGCATGAGCCACAGCACCCGGCCAAGTATCTTTATTTTTAATGCACCAACACACTCATAATAAATTATATTTTAGCCGGGCTCGGTGGCTCAGCCTGTAATCCCGTGCCTTTGGGAGGCTGAGGTGAGCAGATTGCCTGAGCCCACAGGTTCGAGACCCGCCTGGGCAGCAAGACCTCATCTTAATAAATCAAAAAAATCAGCCGGGCGTGGTAGCGCATGCCTGTAATTCCGGCTATTCGGAAGGCTGAGGCGGAAGGATCGCCGGAGCCCAGCAGGTCGAGGTTGCGGTGACCGGGAGCGGCCACTGCACTCCAGTCTGGGCAACAGAGTGAGACTCCAACTCAAAAAAAATAAATAAATAAATAAAAAATAAATAAATAATATTTATTAACATTTATCCAGCATCTAAATGGACTGTAATGGGAGAGCCTTTTAAGAGCATCCAATATTGCTGAAAGTAGAAATTCCTTCCTCCCTTTTTCACCTTGTACACGAATGTGTGCCCCGAGTGGAAACTGTGCCCTTTCTCATATGTTCCCTGCAAGGCAGACAGACAGGATGCACGGCCATCCTCATTTCATATAGATTACACTTTGGTTTGGAGAGACCAAGCAGCCTGCCCACAGACACACAGAACATCTCAAAACCAGACATAATAGGATCAACCAACAACCCAAAGGCAGTAGGTAATTAGCTAAATTTTTTGTGTGTTTGAGTTGAGATCTTACTCTGTCACCCAGGTTGGAATGCAGTAGCATGACTGTAGCTCGCCACAGCCTCGACCTCCAGGTGCTGTCACCATGCCTAGCTAACATTTTATTTTTTATTTTTTGTAGCGGTCTCTGAGGCCTTGCCATGTTGCCTACGCCGGTCGAGAACCCTCATCCAATCCTCCCACCTTGGCCTCCCAATGGGCTGGGGGTACAAGTGTGAGTCACCATGCCCAGCCTATCACTAGCTTTGAATTTCCACCCATATAGTATATTTGTGTAAATTACACAACAAAGCAGAATCGAATTGAAAAGGAAAGTTATCTTACCTTCTGTGGAAACTTCTTGCTTAAATCTTGTATTCAGGCAAAATAGAAAAACATTTGTGGTTTTTTCTTAGAGTATATGCAACCCTAAGAAAAAATTTTTCGTTCAGTGTAAGATCTATAATCTCTTTACCTGAAAAATAAGAAGAAAAAACATATTTTAAGTTCTTCCTTTGAGCCAGGCACATACCTGTAGTCCCAATACTTTGGGAGGCTGAGGCGGGAGGACTGCTTAAGCCCAGGAGTCTGAGATCAGCCTGGGCAACATATCAAGACGTGTCTCTACACATAATATTAATAATAATAATAATAATAATAATAATAGTCAGGTGTGGTGGCACACACCTACAGTGTCAGCTACTTCGGAGGCTGAGACGGAAGTATTGCTCAACCAGGAGGTTGAGGCTGCAATGAGCCATGACCATGCCACTGCACTATAGCTTAAGTAACAAAGTAAAGCCCTGTCTCTTAAAAAATTCTTCCTTTGTAAAGTTAACTGACCACAACGGCAGTCAAAAAGAAAAGACAAGCAAATACCAGTATCTTTACTTACTATATGAATTATCAGAAAGCTTTACAATTAAGGAACTAAAACTCCCTTTTGTCTTTGCTTGTTCTAGAGAGAGCGATACCAATGATATAAACCCATTCTATGTCTAGTTAACTGGCTCAGTGGTTAGAATGTCACACTGAAGAATCCGGAATGTCACAATGAAGAAGGATGGGGCAATCCCCTCCCATTGTGGGAGCTTTTCTGTCCTCAATAAATCCTGTTTTCTCGGGGGGGAAAAAAAAAATCCAAGGACATGAGAAAAATTGCTATGAAGTTTCCAGTTTCATAACTATAGACTATTGTCACCAAGAAACACATTCCAGTCAGAAGCTGACTTGACAGCTCACTGACAACACATCACAACTTTTTTTTTTTTGAGTTGGAGTCTCACTCCGTCACCCAGACTGGAGTGCAGTGGAACACTCACAGCCACTCCAGCATCGACCTGCTGGGTTCTGGCAATCCTTCCGCCTCAGCGTTCCAAGTAGCCGGAACTACTGGCACGTGCTACCATGCCTGGCTAATTTTTTATTTATTGTAGAGATGAGGTCTCACCAAGTTGTCCAGGTGGGTCTCGAACCCGGGGGCTAGGCAATCCACTCACCTTGGCCTCCCAAAGTGCTGGGTTCACAGGCTGAGCCACCGAACCGGCCCATCACAACTTTTAGAAACAAAACGTTTTGGAAGCTATTGGGGAAATTTGAATGTGGACTGATAACTGATGATATTAAGGAATCACTGTGAATTCTCTTAATTATTATAATGACATGATAGTTATATTTTTAAAAGTTAAAAGCTGTCCTGATCTGTTAGAGAGAAATGAAGTATTCGTGGGTGAAACAACATTATTTCTGAATTCGATTTAAAAAAAAAAAAAGAGAAACAAAAAAAATTTTTAAAGGGAGGATAGAATAGCAAAGTATTGATCACTGTTTCCATAAACTTTTTTTTTTTTGAGTTGGAGTCTCACTCTGTCACCCAGACTGGAGTGCCGTGGCACACTCCCGGCCACCGCAGCCTCGACCTGCTGGGGTCCCGTGATCCTTCCGCCTCAGCCTTCCAAGTAGCTGGAACTACAGGCGCATGCTACCATGCCCACCTAATTTTTTGATTTATTGTAGAGATGAGGTCTCGCCAAGTTGCCCAGGCGGGTCTCGAACCCATGGACTCAGGCAATCCACTCATCTCGGCCTCCCAAAGCACGGGATTACAGGTCCATAAGCTATTAAAAGCAAATGTAACTTACCATGTGGCCTAGCGATTTATTTGAAAAATCAACCGTGTTGGGTGCATACAGTGGCTCACCCCTGTAATCCCAGTATTTGGGGAGGCTGAGGTGAGAGGATCACTTGAGTCCAGGAGTTCAAGACCGGCCTGGGCAACACAGCAAGATCTCATCTCTACAAAAAGTCAGAAAATTAGTCAGGCATGGTGACTCACACCTGGAGCTCCAGCTACTAGGAAGACTGAGACAGGAGGATTGCCTGAGCCCAGAATGTCAAGCCTGTGGGGAGCTGTGATCCATGCCACTGCACTCCAGCCTGGGTGACAAGAGTTGAGAACCCCACTCAAAAAATCAAAAAATCAAAAATAAACCTGTAGCCAGAACTCAATTCCATAGACTCTATTAATGGAAAAGTAACATTTATTTAAAATACTTTTGGCTGGGTACAGTGTCTCACATCTGTAATCCCAAGACTCTGAGAGGCCAAGGCAAGCAAGGCAAAAGAATTGCTTTGAGTCCAAGAGTTCATTCATGAATAGTGACACCGTGAGACCTTGTCTCTACAAAAAATTTAAAAATTAGCCGTGATGGCATATATCTGTAGTTCCAGCTACTTGGGAGGATTGAGATAGGAGGATCACTTAACTTCAGGAGCTCAAGGCTACCACAGTGAATTATAATCATGCCACTGAACTTCAGCCTGGGTGACAGAGTAAGGTCTCGTCTCTCTATAAAAAAAAAAAATTAAAAAGCTATTTTGGTAACTCAAATTACAAATTAAGAAGTTCTTAAGAGCTTGTATTTTCTTGACACTTCTGTTTATTTCAGAAGCATTAAGGTAACCCAGTGCCAAGCATAATTTATTCTTTTATATAACTGACCAGTGCTTATTTAATTAAAACAAGCAGATATATGCAATTACTGGTCACATACTATATGAGGGGAGACCCAAAAAACCCAGAAATAACTTTTGGAGGGCAAGCCCTTTGTAGTACACTTGGAATTTGTTCCTCTGGGTCAAACAGTCAAAGTTTTTATTTGGAAGTTTTGATAAGGCTGTGTCACGATTTGCAGAAGAAACATCCTGAGTTGTTCTTCCACCATGACAATGCACCTGCCCACTCAGCACTGAGTGTTCAGCAGGTTTTGGCCAAAAACTGCACGAATCCCATACCTCAACCTCCGTATTCATCCAATCTCACCCTGAGCGACTTTTTTTTTTTTAAATTTGGAGTCTCACTCTGTCGCCCAGACTGGAGTGCAGTGGCCGCTCCCGGCCACCACAGCCTCGACCTGCTGGGCTCCGGCGATCCTTCCGCCTCAGCCTTCCAAGTAGCCGGAATTACACGCACGCGCTACCACGCCCGGCTGAATTTTTGATTTATTGTAGAGATGAGGTCTTCGCTGCCCAGGCGGGTCTCGAACCCGCAGGCTCAGGCAATCCACTCACCTCAGCCTCCCAAAGGCGCAGGATTACAGGCTGAGCCACCGAGCCCGGCTAGCATATTTTATCTTACCTCAATTTGAACTTTAAGTTTGTCTGCATGTGGTACATGCTTCTATGTACACAAATATCATCTACTATGAGGGGGACACCAAAAACCCAGAATTGTCTTTGGGAGGGCGGGCCCCTTGTAGTACAGAGTTTCCCCTCTAGGCAAGTGTTTTAGGAACCCTTCAGCATCAGTGTACCAGCTAGCACTATTGTGAGGGGCTGTGTCCAGTTTCAGTCAATTTTACTTTATTGTTTTGGAGATTCTTCCAATGTGCTTGCCCGTTTCATGGTGGGTGCTTTACGAGCACACCTGCGCACACAGCGCTGAGTGTTTAGCAGTTTTTGACCAAAACAGCATGAACCCTAAGTCCCACTCTCCCTGTTACCCTGATTTTACCCTGAGTGACTTTTTTTGTTTCTCTAGATGAAAAAAGTTCTCAAAGGGAAATGTTTTGCCGATGTGCAAGAGGTGAAACAAAAAATAGCAGAAGCACTAAAAGACATAAAATCAACAAACTCAAACACTGTCTTGAGCAGTGGAAAAGGTGTCTTGGGTGTACTGCATCAAACGAAGAGTACTTTGAAGATGACAGAAATTTAAACATGTAAGAGTAAATACACAATTTTTCATGAATAAATCCTGCTGTTTTTTTTAATCCCCCCTTAAGATTTTGGGAACGTGACCTCCAAGTCACTCTGGAATTCTACTCCCACCCTTCTGAGTACTGGGCTTGCTAAAGGACATACACGCTGGCCAGTACCTACTGGTTGTTCAGTTTGGGTCAATGAACTGACCTTTGGTCATGATTTTTAAATTTAGGGGCAGAAAACAACAAATAATGGAATGAACATAAATAAAGCTATGAAAGAGATTATTTATCATTTATCTCTTGAATATAAAATTTTGTTTTTGATTTCAGAATCCTTCTAAGCAAACTGACAGTTAAAATGATGCAATAATACATAATTTTTTTCTTTTTTAAAGAAACTGGGCCTTGCAGCACTTTGGGAGGCTGAGACAAGAGGATTGCCTGAGTCCAGGAGTTCAAGACCAGCCTGGGCAACTTGGTGAGATCTCCTCTCTAAAGTAAATCAAAAAATTAGCCAGGTGTGGTAGTGTGCACCTCTAGTTCCAGCTAGCCAGAAGGCTGAGGTGGAAGGACGGCCTGAGCCCAGCAGGCCGAGGCTGTGGTGGCCAGGAGCGTGCCACTGCACTCCATCCTCGGCAACAGACTGAGACTCCAACTCAAAAAAAAAAAAAGAAACAGGGCCTCACTTATTTTGCCCAGGCTGGAGAGGAGTGGTTAGTCACAGGCACAATCGCACAGGCAAGGGAGTTCTAACCTACTGTTTTCAACCTGAGTCAGTTCACCCCTTCTTAGGCAACCTGACGGTCCCCAACTCCCAGGAGGTCAGCACACTGATGCCAGTCTTAGTGTGGACACCAAGTTGGCATAGCATGCTGCAACCCAGAACTCCTGGACTCAAGCAATTGCTATGCCTCAGCCTCCTGAATAGCTGACACTACAGGTATGTACCCCATGTCCAGCTGGAATATAACTTATGCATTTCATTTTATAATTTTCCTATTCCAAGATGAAATACTGCATTTAGTAATTTGGGGGATAAGTGGAGTATTATGTTTAACTGAAGTTGCCAGGTATGAGTCCCTCAGAAATTATAATAATTTCTGTTTTAAAACAGATCTGACTTTTAGCTCTTGAAACCACTATCCCTTAAATTTCCAATAATGATTAGAATTCATTCATTCATTTACTGAGTAGGAGTCTCACTCTGTTGCCCAGGCTGGAGTGCAGTGGCACGGCTAATGGCTGCCATTGCCTTGACCTGCTGGGCTCAGGT